AGTCCCTGCTTTGCCACTCATCAGCTTTCTGACCTTGAGAGACCCCCTAACTCTCCCGTTAGCGTCTTTACCTTTAGAGCAGGAGGGTTGTAAAGACCAAGTACACAAATCAAACCAAAGCAACGACCAAACAGGGTTAAGGGGTATGAGAGTGCTCTGAGGGCTGTAAGCGCCAACATCCCCATGTGTTCCCTTCCCTCCTTCCAGAACAGCGAACAAAACAACTCGTAAGGTCTACCCGTCGGGGGGTCTAGTGGCGTGCTGGGTGTCCAGCTGCGGGTTCCCTACAGGGAGGAAGGGGAGGCAGAGGACAGGCCATAATCTCTGCCCCAAAGGTGCTTCCACACTCTCGGGGAAGCTCAAGAAACACATCCAAGGCCATTAGGAAACGAAACAGAAGAAGAGAATCAGACACTCAGTTGAGTGGTTCAGCTCTGAGTACAGGAGCTTCAAGGCAAAGTGGAGCCCAAGGGGAGTCTCCGAGGATGGGCAGGATTTGGAAGCAAGGCGAGGTAAGGTACTCCTTGGGGCTGGACTGGCAGGGACAGGTCTGAAGGCCTGGAGGTGGGGCTCAGGGAGAAGGGGAGGGGCAGCCCATATATGAGTAGGAACCAGCCACTCCCTCGCCTCCAAGGGCAGTCATCACCTGGCTCTCACCCTGGCCAGGGAAGTGCTGAAGGACACAGGTCTCAGGCTCCTCTAAATGCCATGCCTCTGGGAGAGACTCCACCAGGGCAATTAACTGGCTAAGCTCACACACTTGCTCGTTGAGGATATTATTTTAAAGCTCTAACAGGAGGGACCTCCCTAAAAGGGAGAGGGCCGCAGTCAGGCCCATCTTTATTACCTTCCCATAGACTAAGCCCTAACTTGCAAGGGACACTTATGGCGGCTTTTCTTAGCCCTAAAAAAACAGTAATTTTTCCTTGGCTCTGGAGGATGACACTGACTCATGTCCCCCAGCCTTTTAAGGTTCACACTGATCCTCTACCTCTTAATGAATTCATTCAATGTGATCCGACGTTTAAAATCGACAGCCCATAAGCTTCCACATCCAGGAGTTAGCGCCTTTTTGCTTCAGAAGCTCTGGCCCACCCGCAGAACAGCCGCCTGCGCCCACGGCATCCCCGGCCTTATCTGTGCTGACCGATGGCTGACCCAGCTTCCCTCAGCTGCAGGTCACCTCCAGGTACCTCCAGGTGACTCTCCAAACACAAATTCTTGACCTTGAAAGATATGAGCAGAAACCACACAGAGCCATTCCATAACCACTTTGGGGTGGAAGAACTTCCGGAAAGCATGTCCTCAGATGGAACAAAAGTTGGCTCCCAGCCAGGTATAAGACACCAAGAAGCAAACACCTTGGCCTTGGTCTATAATCTCTGCCCAGTGAGCAGACCTGGGGACCTGAAGACCACCCACTGCAGAGGGGAGGCCAGCCCTACTTCATGGGCACGAATTCACCTCCTGAGCCCTCTCCCAGGGGCAGAAAGGCTGGGCCACTCTTGCTTGAAAGCCAAGGGCCCCAGGCCACGGTGCCTGCCACCAGAAAATGTTCATAGGCGTGAGGATCAGGGAGCAAAGAGCTGAAATGGCTTTAAAACAAAGAATTCCTTCTGGAGAAACCTGCAAATATCTGTCTTCCTTCCTTTCCTTATTCTTCCCCAAACAAAGTAACCTAGATCATCTACCCTCCTAGTTGGAGTGTCAGCTGAAGACTCTCTGACCGCAGTGTCACGTGGAGTGAGGTTTCAGGAGGGCTCCAAAGAACCAACAGCAAAGGGAAATGCTGAATGTCAGACCAGTTTCGCCGATGAGGAACTGACCTTTGGGGAAGAGTGTGCCGGTGCCAGTGATTACGCCTGGTTTAACACTTCCCTCCACCACATGGCCTGCAAGTTTACCCCACGGCTCCTGTCCTCATCAGGGGATGTGGCAGCCAAAAATGTTTCATGAACCTGGCAAAGTGATAAACTATGTTTGTGCTAATACCTTTGATTCCAGCCCCCTCACTGGAGTGCTGGTATTTTAAGCATCCCTTTGATCTACTCCAAGTCCCTAATAAGAACCGTCCAATAAACACGCGGGGTTTAAGTCAGAGACATTAACAGAAGCCCCAGGACTCTGATCCCTTCTGCTCAGTGGAATGCACCACTAGAAATTTATCACATGCAACCTGAGAAAAAGGTGAGGCAGGCCAGGGAGAGATCAGAGGGGTAACCCTCGAGGCCAACTTGGCCTTGGCTGGATTCAGTCACGGTCTGGCCCCAGCTAATGCCTAGTTCTCAGCTCAAACATTTTCCAAAACAGCCCAGGTTTTCTGGGGGAGATGCTGTGACTGGTTCCATTTGCTTACAAGTGGTGAGCTCTGGCTTGTCAAGAGGGCCATACAGCTCCTGCTGTGGGGAGAGCTCCCTAGCGCTCCGACACCCCTCCCCCCAGGACCTTCCAAGGCCCCCAGGACCTGGGCTGGGCTAGCCAGAAACCCAAGAGGGGTGGGAGGGGAAGGGAAGGGCAAACCAGTTTGTTCCTTTTCTGTCAGCCCAAGAGCCTGGGCTTTCAAAACCCGTCTGGCAGGCTGCCAGGTCTGGGGTGGGAGCAGTGACTGACAGGCTGGTTATTGGAAAGCTCCCATCATTAGCCCAGGAATGTTGTTTGGTTACTATGGCGACCTCCCCTACAAGCGGCCTGACTAAAGCACAAGGAATCTGTTACCTAAAACCAGCGCCCCACGGAGCCCATGGCTTCAGGGACCAAGCTTAGCAGTGGCCTGTTCCCCGTGACCCTCCCGGCTGAGCCTCCCAATCCCAGGACTGGAGAAGGGACCAGCAAAGGCATCTCCAAGCTTGCTGTGGGGATCTCTTGCATTCTGAGGCCTGGCCTGGCTTGGAACCCAGGTGCAAACAGGGAGCCTGCTGCCCCCTTGAGGCCCCCGGCAAACTGGCCAGCAACGGCCAGGCCAGCACATGTGTCCAGGGCTCCGTCGGAAGCCCTCAGGATTTCAGGAAGCTGCTCGGGTGTCTGGTTCCCACCGTGCCAGGTTCCCACTGTCCCCGCAGGCCCATCAGTCTCTGCCTCACCACGTTTCTGCCTTTTTAAACTCAAGCTCCATTAACTAAAGGTCATCCCACAGCTTGGAAATCAAGATTCTCTTTGCTTTGCTTTCTAATCCCTGAATTCAGGAAGATTTTCAAGAGTCAACTCCACGAAAGCTGGGTTTTTCTCCTGGAGTCTTGAGTCTGCCCCCCAGGAACGGCAACCTCCTGTGCAGCTAAGGAGCTTGAACACCGGCCCTCACGTGCAGGACGCCCTCCCCCCACTCCCGGCCCACTGAGGGCACTCGTCTCCCTCGGGTCCCAGGTCCCGGCCTTACACTGTGGACCATCTTCCAGACCCACCCCCACTGCTGTCCTTGAAACCAGTTGTAAATTGACTGTGAGATCTTTTCTTGTCTGAGTCTCACAATAGTCCTTGGAGGCAGGACAGATGTCAGTCTTTGAGCAGCTGAGAAGATGCAGGGGCAAGCTTCGGGAGGCACCACAGGTAAGTGACAGCCAGGGACTTGCTGTGGCTCCCACATGGGGACAAGCGCAAGAGGAAAGGGGTCTGTTCCACCCAGCAGCATCCCCCTGGGCCAGGCCTCCCAGACCCCTGACACCGGCCTGCCAGCCTCTCCTACACTAAGGCAGTCTCTGCAGAAAGGAAGAGCCTCTACAAGGTCTCAGCCACCTGGGCCCAGCGAGGCACTGGGTGGCAGACAGACCCAGACCAGGGGCCTTTAAGTGCCTGCAATACAGACCTTGCTGAGGACGCTGAGGTCAGGGCGAAGGAGGCTGACTTTTGTTTGGCTGCAGTGATATTTACTGGATCCGGGGTTTAATTAACTGCCGTGGCAATAGCGGAAGCCACACGCAGCTTGTTCCCCATGCAGGACGCAGCTGGAGAAGCAGGATGCACTTTCAGTTGAAGAGCAATGACATTGTTCAGTGATCCCTGACCAGTAATGGACTCAGCGACCTTTCCTGCTAATCCAGGGGTCTCATCCATGGGGAAAAGTACGGACTTATTTGCTAAGAGCCACGGTCACACCCTAGGGTCACTCCACAGGGCTGCGTGGCAGGTGGATTTTCCACCCCCCACTCAACTCGTGCAGTCAGATGGGAGACGCGGGCACGGGAGGCTCCTGCACGGGGCTGGGGGCACCGAGGGGCCAGCATGTGGGCCCCCTTCCCTGGCTTCCACAGGACAGCTCTGCTCCCATCTGTTCAGTTTCCACCTGCATGCAAGATTTCACTCAGAAAAAGGACAGTGTCTGATGCCTGGCCCAGCCTCTTGTTTCTTCTGTGACACGCACTCTGACCCAGGGGCCGGGTGAGGCAACCCCTCCCCGCTCTAGGATTCTAACCCTCTCATCGTGACAGTTTCTGTTTCCACCGAAGCGTAACCGACAATAAACGCACACACACAGAGGCACACTCATACACGCGTATGTGCACACACATGGCTGGCAGCAGACCGTGCGTCAGACCCTGCCAGATAGGCGTGAGAATGGAGCTTGGAAAAAAGCCAGGTAACTGGTACTGGAAGAGGAGGACCTTTGTCCTTCGTGTATTTGTATAAAAGTAAAAAATAAACTTCTACACAGTAGGTCTTGCTGTATTATATTTGGGATTAGGTAACTAATCCCTTGTCCGCACAGGTTGTTTTATCTACGTGTAGTGTTCCCTAAGCGACCTGTCTTTTAAAGTGAACCGATTTCAGTTCTAATAATCTCTCAAATGCAGGGTGCAGACCAAGAGCCAGGGCTGTCTCCCGAATACAAACAACAGGCTATGTGGAGCTGCCCTCACACCACACAGCAGGTGTGTGCCCTCTGCTCACACCTGGCCAGAACAGAATGCCAGAGCCAGGCTCCGCCCCCACAGGTCCCCGCCCCACCCTGACGCTCAGTGTGTGCACTGACCAGCCCGCCAGCCCAGCAGTGTCCATGGGGAACTCACTTGAAGTTCTCAGGATACTCCGTGATGGCCATGTTGATGACGTCCAGGGCATGCTGATAGTGTTTCTGGGCCGAGAAAAGGAGCGCCAGCAGGTGGAGGGCGTTGGCGTCATCCTTGCACACTTTCAGGGCCTCCTGCAGCTGCTCCATGGCGCTGGAGATCTGCCGGAGAAAGGCACCAGCTGAGCGACCTTCCCCAAGGCCCACACCTCACCCCGGACTCTGGGGCCAGGTGCCAGCCAACAAGGGTGCAGCAGACTCAATGAGACCCCAGGCACTGTGGGGCAGGCAGGGGCTCTGATGAGAAAACACGCCCCCAAATCACATGGCCAGGAGGGATCTGCTGTCCAAAGTCAGGCCCTGGAAGCTAGCGCTGTGCGCACGCAAGAGGGAAAAGAGGGGCAGGTTCACAGAGTACCACGAAGGATCGGCCGGGAAGCACCAACTAAACCGGAGGAGTGGGGCTGCGAGGAGAGGCCACCCGGACCACTGGCTACAGGACTCTTCTCCGAACCTATTCACGCAGTGCTGGGGGCTGACAGATAGATGCTGCCTCCTACTCAGAGGTTCACAGTGGCAAGAGCTTAGGCTCTGGGGTCAGATGGGGGCATGGATCCCAGCTCTGCCACTTCCTAGCTGGCGCCCAGGGCAGGGGACTTCGCCTGTCTGAGCTGCAGTCCTTACGCTGCAAAGTGAGGATAACGGTCATACCTATGACAGTGGCCGAGAGGGTGAGACGACGTAGGAAAAATGTCCTGCTGAGTACTGAACACGTTTGAAAATGTGAGTTTCCCTCTTCAAGCCCCCAGAGCCCAGGCAGCTAACGAACAGGTAAGACCCTTTCTCTCAGTCCTGAGGGACGTGTTCTCTCAGGCGCTCAGGCCTGGCAGCTGTGTCAGCTCCTGTGATTCTATCCACACCAGGACCCCGTCCTCCCAGGAACCTCGGGAGCCCTTTTCAGGAAGTCTTGTTCTTCACCAAACCTCAGACCCCGGTCTCCAAGGCTCCTTGAGGGGCCTACAGGACACAGGTCAGCTGGGGCCTCTGGTCCCCGGCACCTGCCCGGTCTCCACCCAGCCTCTGCACAGGCTGCGGGCACTACTGCCAGGCCCAGAGTCCTCCCACGGGGACCTCCCTTTGTGGAAGGTCATGGAAAGTAAAGGAGGAAGCTAAGGTCAGTGTGGCTCCTGGCTTGGCCTGCCCATGCCTCCCCAGGGCTGCTCCTGCCCCGTTATTCTGGGCTGGGTGTCCAAATCCTCGGTCCTCACTATTTGAGCAGCCATGCATGCTCTGGGCAGGATGGGCCAGAGGAGCTCAGGGACCCAGGCAGCAGGACTAGCTTAGAGTTCGTTCAGGGACCTTCAACCCCGAGATTACCAAGATCTGGGTCCCCAAGGACAATGGGTGCCAGGCTCCACTGGCCCGGCCCAGCCATCTCTCTGGGAGGCCAGACGCCATTCATCAGAGGCGGCTGAATACTTAAAGATATTAAAAAATGCATCACCGAAGGTTTATCAGAAACTTGATTGGCAAGGAAAGCACCGGTTCTTTTACAGAGGGCTAAAAATAAACTGGTGTCGGGTATCTTTGCGTCCACGCTCCTGGGAGCAGCAGAGCAGACTGATGTTTCTGGAGAGAGCAGCAGAGAGGGACAGGTGCCTCCTCTGGGACCTGGAAGTCAGGAGCCAGGGGCACAGTGGGAGAGGGGCTGGGAACACAGCTCCCTGAAGATGAGACCAGGGGCTAGAAGTTGACATCGACCAGTAAAACCAACCACCCGGCCGGTGGACAAGACTCCAATTGCCCAGTCTCCAAACGGGACAGAGGGACAGGATACTTAGAGCCCCATGGGGTTGCTTCACTCGGTCAGGGTGGGCTCTGGAACAGCCACTGTGCTGGCCTGGCCAGTTACCAGTTCCTGAGCTCAGGAGAGCTTCAGCGCCTCAGGTGTCAAATGGGGCCACCGGCGCCCTCCTCATCAGATGCAGGGCTCGCCCAGGCCAGTGGGGGTACGGCAGCACCCTCGTCAGCCAGGCTGCCTGTCACCTGACCACGAGCAGATGGGGGCTCTGTGGACTCCTCTCCAACAGTCTGCAGCCCAGCCCGGGTCCCTGCTGGCTCGTCTGCAGGTCCCGAGTGGCCCAGCGTCCACGCTCACCCGATCAAAGCCACCGAGAGGTCCTGCTTCACACAGAGCACCAGCCTGCGGGGCACATGTGAAAGCAGAGGCTCTGAGGGGCCTGGGCGACGGGAGCTCTCGCTCGTTTCTGAAAGGCAATGGCTGGGTGGGTTGCCCGGCCTCACTCCCTGGACAGCTTGGAGAAGGAAGGTGGGTCGGCCTGGAGAGCCATGTAGGTCGAAGGTGGTTGGCGGATAGCAGGTCCCCGTCAGGCCCCAGAGGCCGAGCCTGCCGGTGGCGTCCACAGGGTCAGAGGAAAGCTCTGGGTCACACAGAAACAGCTCCACGTGCCAATCACTCTACTCCAGACCCCTGGGGAAAGCTCAACCGAAGGTGAGGACACAAGCAAATGTTTACTGTGGTCACCTGTCACCTTCTCAGGAGACGGACGCACTGTAGGAGGAGTGAGGGCAGAGAATAACCCCTTCCTGTGCGCCCACCATGGGCCAGGGGCTTTACCACGTTAGCTGACTTAATCCTTACTAGGGCCCTCTGAGGTGGAGTATGAAGGTGCTGACATAGCAGACAAGGAAACAGAGGCTCAGAGAGGTCAAGTCACTTGCAAAGGGTCACACAGCCGATAAAGGCAGTGGAGCCAGGAGAAGATCAGCAGCCCCCAGAGACCTGGGTGTTAGAATTGTGAGGACTCACCTGGCGGACGAGGGCCAGCTGCAGGGAGACATAGAGGATGACCTGGGGGTCATCGGGCGCCAGCTGCTGGGCTCTGTATGGGGCAAGGGAGCAGCAAGTCAGCCAACAACGTCGACAACCAGTGTGTGACGTGGGTCTCCAGCGTGCCCGCCCCTGTGCTGGGTGCTGCAGGGCCCAATGTTGGAGATTCTGCCTGGGCCCGCTTTGGAGGGTACCCCGCGGGAGACCATGGCTGGGGCAGAAAGCCCACGGGCAGCCCAAGGCAGGGGCAGTGGGTGCCGAGAGAGCTGGCTCTGGCTGAGGTGGGGGCCGTCTGGGAGGACAGGACTGCTGGGTGGGGGAAGCCCTCTCCTCCGGGCAGCTGTTGACCCGGCTGTGGCCTGGTACAGAGCCTGGAGTCTGCCCTCTCCACCGCACGACAGAAGGGAACGGTTCCCGGAGGATGTGGGGCTGGGATGGCCTCTCTGGGCAAGAAGCGCTGGGAATGAAGAGCCAGCGGGGGAGGGAAGGAGATGTCCCCTGATCCTGGGAGTTCAGAGGGGGTTTGCCAGGATGGGCCTCTCCTTCCTCCCTGGGCTTGAGAACAGCCTGCCCCAGAGGGGAGTTCCCAGGAAGCTGGCATGAGGAGTCCAGGGCAGGCCCCTACCCAGCAGCCGCCATCCGTGCTCTGAGGGACAAAGACACACGGGGCTCATGGGGAAGAGCCCTGCGATGGGCCAGAGGAAGGAAGGGGAGGGGTGCTCAGGTGGGTGTCCGGGCTGTGGTGGAGAGGGGACTCAGCCAGGTTGGGCCTGGAGAGGGAGGAAGGGCTGCTGCTGGGGGAGGGGCTTCTCTGCCGCCCCCTCCCTCCCTTCCTCCCTCCTGGACTCTGGGCTCCCAGGAAATCTCTGTGAGGACCTGGGGTAGGGCTCCTCACAGCCCTCAGGTTGCAGAGGGGCTGGGAGGAGGCAAACACTCTTTCTGAGTCCCTGCTATACTTGTAGGTCACTGTGCAAGGTGCTTTCCTGCTATAGCTCGCGTCCCCTGAGCTCAGGGGGACGGGAGCTGAGCCTGGGGGGAGCTCTACTCGTGTGGAAGGGCTCAACCCGCCCACCCAACCCTAAAGGCCTGTCCCTGCTTCCTGTGTGACCTCTCAGAGCCTCGGTTAGCTGGTCAACAACATGGGGACAGAAACCTTTGCTCTGTCTACACCAGAAGGTCTCCTAAGGGAACGTGAGAACGAGCCACCTCGAGCAACGCGGCCAGTCCGGCCTCCCTCACCTCTCCAGCGTCTGCAGTGCCTTCCGGTGCAATTCATCTTGCTTGGACTTCAGAGTCGCTGCAGGAGACAGGATGGAGAGGAAGCCATGAGGCGGTGCTGGAGGGGGGCCGACCCAGCTCTGTCCCACCCAGGGCACAGAGCTCTGCGAGGAGAGGCCCCACCGGGACCCCGTCTGGCAAATGCTCGCACTCAAGCAGCTCTGGAATGGTGCCACCGGCTGCCCTGGTTACTGGGGGAAGGGGGGCAGGTGTCGCCCTGGTCCTAGCCTCCTGGCATGATTCTTGACACAACAGATCCTTGTACTCCTTTGCCTTCCTTGCCACCTGGGCCACCCTGACCCTTCCAAAGGCCCAAGCCTCTAGGGAAAAGTTACCACCTCTGTCCTGGCCACATGCCTCCCTGGGCTTCCTTACTGATGAGGCTTCTTCTTTTCTACCAATTTCAACAAATTTCAAGTGGACGATTCCATGGCATTAAGTACGTTCGCCATGTCGTGCCACCATCACCACCATCCGTCTCCAGATCTTTCTTATCGCCCCTAACAGACTGTCTGTACCCACTGAACACCAACTCCCCTCCCACTAGGCCACCAGAAACCTCTATTGTACTTTCCCCATGAGGCTTCTTGATTAAACCCAAACCGGGCACCCTTCTGGTAAATTAAATCATCTTTAAATAGGGGAGCACAGGCATTCGAAGCCTTAGCAGCACACTGAACCCCTGGGAAGCTTTAAAATGACTGTTGTCAGCCTCCAACCAGACCAGGTCAAGATGCTGCCGGCATGGCTGGATGTCAGGGGTCCCCGGCTTATAAAGCAGCCCTGCTTCTAGAGGATTAAAGGCACATGGAGGGTCTCTGGACTCTGACTGAGGGACTGATGACTCCCTCACTGGACCAGTGTGGAGGGATCCCGGGGTTCCTTATCAGAGCCTCACCGATACCTTGAAGACACAGTGACTACTGTCACTCAAGAACGAGCGGCTGGCACGGCACCAGGATCTCACCCCTCTTCCTGCCCTCGTCTTGCCACTGCCAGCTGTTCTTACCTCTCGTTGTGCGGGGCCTCTGAAGCCTGCTCCCGGGGCGCTGCCTGAATAGGCGGTGTGGGTTGGAGCTGATTACTATTCCGGGTTTGGTCTGGGTGGGGGCCTATCACTCCCTTTCCCTCAAGCTGCAAGGATACAGAAGTAGGTGGCTGCCGATCCCTGGGGGAACACACGGCTGAGCTGGCGGGGTTGGGGATGGAACACCAGACTCCAGGCGGCAAACCCACGCACCAAGCACAAGTATTCAGCAAACGCCTGCTGCGTACCCAGCTCTATGCCACGCACTGGGGGGATTTAAAAGACCCCAGAAGATGACAGTGGTGCCGACGGTAAAGGTGAACCAGAAAGAAGACACTGTGCGGGCAAGGGCTGGTGGCGCATCACAGACGGCAAGCGTCACAGGAGGTCCAGGGGCAGCGGTCAGCGTGGGCTGTGCCGGGGGGCAAGTAGGAGGCCTGAGTCACCCCGAGCAGAGGCTCCTCGGCCCCAGCACTCACCGTCGGTGGCCTGCAGGCTGTAGGTGAGACCCAGTGCCAGGTAGCCCTTGGACAGGAACTCCCCGGCTTCCTCTCCGAGCTGAATCACCATCATGGCGAAGTGCTGCGCCTCCTTCAGCTGCAAAGAGGAGAGGTGCAGGTCACCGCGGAGGGCCGCCATTCATAGTCACCAGCCCGGGACCCTCAGAACTGCAATTCCTTGCGCCCGACCACAAAGGCCAGGCGCCTTCCTGAGGCCACACAGTCACTGAATGGAAGGAGAGCTGCTTCTTCCACAAGCACCAACCTGGACCTTTTCCCCCACCCAGAGGCCTTGTGCTCAAGATCACGGGACGCCACCTCTCACAGGGAAAGCTTCCCTTGCTCCAAGGATCCCAGCTCCCCGACAGCTGCTCTGCTGAGAGCCTGGACCCAGGAGCAGGCCAGTCTGTGCCAGCTCCTTTCCTCACTCTGCCCGTGTCCGTCTCTGCCCCGCTCGGCAGAGAGAAGGAAGCGGGAGCCGGGGGCAGGCAGGGCTCGGGGACTGGGCCTCCGCGACACCGCCAGCCCTGCAGAGTGGGCAGGCCACCACGCTGGCTCCGGCTGTGGGCTTGCTCCCTGACACCCGGAGCTCTAACTTTTCAGGCCTGGGGTTGTGTTTGTCCTGAGAGCAGGAGGGACTGTTCCAGTTGGAAAGGGACCAACTGGCTCAGGTCACGTGTGCGCACATCACACACAGCATGTGACACGGAGAGAGGGGCACGCAGGCAGCCCTCCGGGGCACCCACGGCAGGCAGGCCTGTTGGGAGGCCGGGAACAGCTGGGGGCCTCAGCTGTGCCCACTCAGGGCCCACAGGCCTCCCAGAGGTCTCCTCCCTCCTACCCACCCAGGAATGGCATCTGCCCGTGTGCCTGCTGTAGCAGTGTCACCAAGAACAACTGGTACCGCCCTCACCAAGGGGCTGAATGATTCATGCCCACAGCCCCACTGCTGCCCAGGTGTCAGGGCTCCCTTACGTGGAACATCTCCCCTTCCCCATCCGGAGGGACCCACAAAGTGAAGCTGGGTTCTGGCACCCCAGCCGGTGAGCCCGCACTCTGCTCCCGTCCCTGCTCAGGCGCACCCCACCCAGCAGGAGAGGGACAGTTCTGTGCATCTTGTGGCCTCACCACTGGCCACAGCTGGGGGCACTGGTGGACTCCCCCTCCTTGGAGTATGAGGGGACCCTGAGATAGAGGCCATTAGCCGTGGGGAGGCGAGTTGGGCTGAGTTCACCATCTGGGCACAGCCATGGTGCGCTCTGTGCAGGAAAAAGGCTGATGGAGCAGAGAACCCACTGAACAGAGGGGATAAAAAACCTCAAACTACAAGAGAGGCAGAGCAGGTGAGGTGGCAGCCCAGAGGAAGATGGTGGAAGGGGGGCTGGATCCCAGCGGCCTGGCCACCACCCCTGACAAATGGCGACAATGGCAGCTCTCTACCCCCCTGTGGTAGAGCTCAAGCTGCCGGCCTGGGTAGTGGGCCACCTCCAGGTGGGTGGGCTGGTCACCGAAAGGACATGGGAGTCTGGGGAGCTGGGCCTGTAACACCATCAGGCCTGAGGACTTGGGCTTCGGGGGAGGCAGCAGCTCAGTAAACCCCACAGCTGCCTGCTGCCCAGTGTCCGCTGGCCGGGTGGACCCAAGTCTGTAGATGCGGAGATCTGTCCCCTGGAGCACGTGGCCCAGCAGGACTCAGGAGAGCCGCGGGGCCCTGAAGTCGGAGCCAGGCTGAGTGAAAAGCACAGGACAAGCCTCGCGACACAGGCTCGGCCCAACAGACACGGGGCCTTGAGCAAGTCACTTCAGTTCTACGTCCCAAAGGGCCTTACCTGCAAAATGGGGAGCTGGACCCCCTCCCACAATGTAACTACTCCTCCCTACAAACCTCCACTGAGGCTTCTGCAGCACCAGGCTCTATGCTGGGCCTGGCTGGGGAGGCCCAGTGACACGGGGGCAGGATGCCCGGATGAGCACGCACGGAATCCCTAAGGAGGGAGAGATCCCACAGGACAAGGTGGCTCTTAATTAAGGCTCCACTGCATGGTGCTGGCCTGGGGCCATGGGAGCTCCCCAAGAGCAGGCAACCTCCTGCCTGGGGTTGTCCAAGGAGGCCTCGTGGCAGGGGGCGGGCAGGAGGCACCAAGGGAAGGGTAGGTGAGCAACAGCATCTTGCCTCCTTGTTAATATCCCTACTGCTGGTGCAGCTGGTCTCCCACACTGTCTTTAGGCATCATTATGCCCCATTCAAACAGGAGCGAGCTTTTTTATAAACCACCAAGTACGAATTATAAACACAATTCAGAAACCTCCTGCACTCCACGTGTGTACACTCTTCTCACGGCCATGTCCTTCCTCAGCAAATGCCAGCTTCTATCTCCGGCAGCCCAGGTACAGAGGGTGCCAGGAACAAAGCTCGGCAATTACTGGCAAACAGGGAAAAATTCCTCTCCAGTTTATACATATCATATCCCGGATTAACAAAGCTCACCCTCCTTTAGCTTTAAAAAGTGACAACGTACATCCTTAGCTTGTCCAACTTGTGGTCCCCTCTGATCCCAGGTTAGTAGCTGTCCTTGGCCAGTACTTGCAGCCTTGCCCACATAGTTTAAAATGGTCTTTAGGTGTGGTGTCAGCATCTGTCTCAAATCAAACCCACAAGGCTTCCGTGGACCCTTTTCTTACATGGCCGACACCATTTTGATTTCTCTTATCTACCACAAAACAGTTTTTTGCATGTGGAGTCATGGGATTATGAACAAAAAGAAGTATCATCAATTCTCTTAAATGTGATAATATACAATATGATATCATACAGTATTAACAGATTTATACATGGGTGCTCTAACTAGCGAGCAAAAGGGAAAAAGTCACATCAAAAATCAACAAAAAACCCCAATATGTATGTATTTCAAATATAAAATATATATTAAAAATATATATACATAATGCACAATTCCTGTTCATCTAAGACAGCAGGGGGAATCCTAAAGCCCTTGAAAATATGGTTTTGCCACCTTTGTTCTGAAGTATGATAATCCCACCTAAATCCAGAGTCAGCACCATGTCCATGGGTAAATTTTCCATGCAGAGAGCAGGACGGCCTAGCAGCTTAGAACACAAGCTCTGGGGCCAGGCTTCCTGGGCTCAAACCCTGGCGTGGCTATTTACTGTGTGACCTTGGGCACGTCACTTCACTTTGCTGTGCCTCCATTCCCTCTTCTGTAAAATGAGGATAACGCGCGTGTGTCTCACAGGGTTGCAGGGAGGACTGAATGAGATAAAGACACAATGAATGCTCAGAACGGTGCCTGAATAAACATAAACTACTATTATTATTATTGGTTGTGATTTTAGATCTATAGTTAATCTTCCAGAATTTTTTTTAAGTCTCAGCCTGACGCATGTGGTAAGTGCCATCTGAATAGAGCCCCTGTCGCCTAAAGCTACATGAGCTCACTGACAAATTAGGAGGTGGCATCAAAGACCCTCCTGGAATCCAGAGAGGGGCCACCACTGTCTGCCTTTTGTCTCTGGCCTGACCCTTCGTCTCAGATAAGGAGCAACTCTACACAAGGACAGCGGGGTCTCCCTGTGCAGTCAGCTGCGCCACGTCGGTCAACATCTCTGTCCCGTGGTCTGGGACACACATACGTGTAACCACCCACCTACCCTGTCACAATACTCACCTCTACTGTGGGTAATACACTCGGATATTTTCTATGCTATTCTGTGATTGTCTATTTCTTTTTTGAAAAAGTTCTATTTCACAGTCCACTAATGGGTCTCAACCTACAGTGTGAAAAGTAAATGGCTGATTGATCCACCCAGCGCCTGCCCATCTACAACCACCCAGCCGTCTAGCACCTCACCTGCCCTTTCCAATCTCCACATACTTCCTCCTGTGGCCTCCACAGTTAACAGCTAATGGCTCTGGAGTTGTGCTGCTGCTTCTGCAAGATTTGCTCGGGTTACAGCACTGGGACCTCCTTGCTCATCAAAATACTTCCAGGGTGAGGGGTTTCCAAAACTTTCAACCATTCTCCTCCTACACTGCTTTTTAATACCTCCTTTCCTGTGGAGGCCATGTAACTTTGTCACAAAACCCACGTGGAGATCCTTTCTCTCTTCCTCCCTTGCAGTTCTAGAGCAGCTGGGTGCCCACCTGGCGTGTCACAGCACGGCAGCCACTTGATGGAATGGGTGTCTTACAGCTTAGGTTCTGAGGCACAGGGTGCTTAGGGGACCTATCCAAGGTCACCCGGCTGGTAAGTGAGAAAACTGAATTTCCAGCCCAGGTCTTCTGAGTCTACGTTTGGATCTTTCTGAGCTGCCTGATTCATGGCTGCCCTCTGTGGGTCTTCATTTTTCTCCTCTCTGTCCCTTTGGGAAAAGGACGCATCGAAGGATGTAATGTTTTGACGCTTTGCTTTTGCTTTCTGTAAGTACGGAAAGCATTCCCACACCTTTCCAAGTTCCTGCATCTCTCCAGTTCTCCTCATTTGGTCCCCACACAGATAGGCTCCTGGCCTGTACACTCTGCTCCGGCTCAGGCTGCCCAGTTCATCTTGCAGTGGGACAAAGGGCTTGTACCCCTGGAATCTTCACCTCTTTTCCCTCCCGGGGAACCAGAGAAAGGTCATTTCTGAGCCCCCAGAGCTCTGCTTAAACAGCACCTCCAGTTTCTCCTTAGTTGCTTCCCATAGGATCCAGGACCTGTTGTTATCTGCTCTACTGAAAATGCACTTTTTTCTTCCTGGAAGGAACAGGTACGCTTCCTAATTTCCACAAGCTCGTGGCAGGAGAGCTGGCATTCTTTCTGGCCTCCTGAACACTTAATCCATCTTCCTGGCCCTCCCCATCCCTGAATCTCAAAAATGAAGGCAAAAACACAAAGGCACATCCTTCCTGAGAGTCGGCTACAGGGATGGCTGCAATTTACCAGGTACCTCCCACATGCTAAATAAGAGGGACACTGCTCAGCTCTGGTAGTCAGAGCCACCCTGTAACAGTGGATGTGACTGTTTCCAGGTTACTGATGAGGCACAGAAAGGGTAACTGACTCACCCAAAGTCACACAGCTAGGAATCTGAACCCTATCCTCTCAGCCTCCAAAGCCTGCACTCCTTCCACCATCCCATCCCACCCCCTTAGGGGAAGAGGCCGAGGGACAGCACCGCAGACCTTTCCAAAGATGAGCATGGCCTGCTTTTCCATTCCACAACCTCCTCTCCTTCTGTGTGTGACACACAGGCACACCCCCATCTCCTATCCTCCTAGAAAGGTTTTAACTTTTTTAATTAAATGAATTTGAACTAATTGTGTTTGGAGGGATGTGAAAAAAATATTTACAGCTCCCTTTTCTCCTGCCCCAAATAACTGGCTGGGGACCCCGGCAAGAGGCTGGTCATGCTGAGGCAGGGGGCTGCCCCACTGCTGTCACTGGGTCAGAGCCTGGGAGGCAAGCCTCAGGCTAAGCCGCGGGGCCAGTGCTCTCAAACCCAGGGCAGCCGGCATGGGACCATGCCAGCACCTCTGCCCAGGCCCCTCCTCACCTGCCCTCACCCAGGGGCAACCTTGATCTCAGACCCAGACCCAGTCTGGAGCATCCTACGCTGGCTCTGGGCATAAGGACAGGACGCAGGGACAGCAGGTGCTCCACCTCTGGGCACACGGCCACCTGGTCCGCTTTCACCCAGCACAACTCGTTTTTCCAGTGTCCCAGTTTCAGCCTCCCTTCCTGCAACCCGGGCCAAACTGTTTATCCCCAGATCTCGGGCCCCAGCTCATGGGGCTTGGCTGGGCAATGGCTGGGCCTGCTGGGGGCTGAGGTGAGCCAGGACAGCTGTGAAGGCAGGAGGCGGAGGTGGCATGGGTCGCCTTGCAGGATCTGTGCCCCATTATAAAGCACCAGCACCCCTCTGCCCTCCCGTCAGACCCATTCTTCCTGCTCTCGGCCCTGAGGACAGAGTGCTGGGCTGCCCCTCTCCTGGCCTCCTAGGAGAACAGGCTGCCCCGGGCCACCTACAGCCTGCTCTCAGCCCAGCACCAACCCAGGGAGCCAGGGAGAACCGTGAGCCAGATGTAGACTTCCCACACCTGTCCCTCGTGGACTGCTGAAGCAGGTGTTATTCTGTATTTCTGAACACCTACTATGTGCAGGGTTCTTTGTGGGAGAGAAGGGCTGAGGGTGTGAGAAACAGTAAGTGAAGAAGCTCCCCGTTTAGATAGAAAGGCAAGTACCAAACAAGGCAGAATCCTCGACAAGTGACTGTGCTCACTGGCAAGCAGGATCCATCCAGTAAGCACTAGGCATTAGCTCTGGGCTAGGGTTTCAAGGAAGAAGAGCGCGAGTTCCTGCCTTCAAGAAACACACATGCAGCAAAAAACGCAATGCCTTGTGCTAAGTGTCCGAGGCAGGTAGGGAGGCACAGGAGGTTTTGTTCAGGGCAGGGAAGGCTGCCTGGAGCCCAGCCCCAGCCCTCCAGCGGGACCACGCTCTAGCCTGTACCCGAGTTGAACCCTGGCTCAAACCAGCCCCCAAACCCAAATAAACTTCTCCGCTGAGGTTAAACAACTCACCCTCCTCCCCGATTCTGAGGTCCAGTCTGCATGTTTAAGTTTCCTTTTGGGCTTTTCTATTTATGTTGTCATTGATTACTTTGCTCCTAACTCATCTGTTTTCAATTTGGACTGATTGGATCCTAATTTTATTACCATGTAATCTGAATGCACATAATCACTGTAATTATGCTGCTGAGGGAAACAGCTCCTCCGCTGCGGAAAGACCTACATTTAGGGTTTCCCAGCAAGGGCGGCCATTGGCTGGGTGGACCCACAGCCAACTCAGAGCTGGCAGCCCTTGGGAGCACAGATGCCCTCCCCGCCCCGCTCCTGGCAAGGCGGGTATTTGGGCTTCATCCCAGGGATGCACTTGAGGCCCCTCTCAGGAGCCTTGGGAACACACAGGGGTGTGAGCCACAGGTCAGCGAGCCCACCCTCTGCATCCTCCAGCTCACGCCACCACCCACTGCTGCAATGCGCTCAGACTGGGTCCCCACCCTGCCGGCACCCACATCTCAACGGCACCCTACCCTCTGGGGTGTAAGACGCTAACAGTCTCCCTAAAAACACTTGGGGGACGAGTTTCCCCACTAATCATGCGGCTGAGGAAAGCAAGCTGTGATGGAAGGGCCCGCCACTGGCCCACCTCGGAGCCCAGTCCATGGCCTCCTCCTCCTGGAAGCCTCCCTGACCTGTCCAGCCCTCTCCATACTTTATGTCATTTACGCCACATATGAGGCACAGTGAAACTCTTACCCACCTCATCACAAAGCCTCTTCCAAATGCCTAGAGCCTATTATAGATCAGTCTTATAGAAAAACATCATAAAGCCTGGGGCCAAAAGCCATGCTCTTCCCTCCCCCATCATCCACAGTCGTCTGGGGCCAAGGCAGGGCCATGTGTGCATATCATACATGGGGACCTGAGGACCAGGGAACAGAGGGAAAGGCACTGCTTCCTCCCCCCTCCACCAATCGTGCGAGGGAGTCAGTCCCTGCAGCACAGAGGGGATGAGGCCCGCTGGGCGGTGAGGCGGGACCCCTCGGAGAGGGTCCTCAGGATACCTGGCGGAGTCTCCCCTCCCAGGACTGGAGGAGCTGGAGAGGCTGCTAATTCTGAAGTGCCTGCTGTAGGCACCTGGAGCCTGGCCCCTTTGCCTTGGAACAAGCTGGGCACCCGACAGCGAGGGTAGGCTGGGGTGTCACGACATCAGGAAGGGGAGGACCGTGTATGGGAGAAGCTCCCCCTTTGGGAGACGCTGGGCCAATGAAGGAACTGGGCTTATTTAGCCTGAAGAGAGATGTGGGTGGGGCTGACAGCCAACACATGGGAGAGATGCTGCACTGTTCTATGTCACTCAAGAGGGTGGAAATAGGACCTCACTTGACATCAGGAGGCTGATGTGGACCTGAGGAAGCCAGGAATGTAGGCAAGGGAGCTCCCAGCGAGAGGAGACAGCCGTGCAGAGGCCCCGCCGCTAGACCCCCCAGGCTGGGAGCAGCAGCTGGGAGCCTGGTGGAGGGAGCACCAAGGCGAGGCCTGGGGCTCTGGGTTCCTGGCCCAGGGCTCTTTGCTCACTCCCCCTGCTGACCTCCTCGAGGTAAAGTGCTGCTGGCCAGAGGGCACACGTTGAGCTCATCTTTAGTTCAGCCGCCTCAGCAGAGCGGTAAGCAGGGAGCTGAGCACAAGGCAGGGACCAGGGGGCTGGAGCCCAGAGGAAGGAGGGGGCTGACAGAGAGGCCACCTTCCCATTGGCCAGGAGCTGGTTCTGACTCCAAATGGTGCGTTGGCCCAGGTAACTCCAAGGTCCTGCCCACTGCCCCTGCTGCTGGGCAGGCGGGGGGCACCCCAACTTTTGACTCCACATTTGGCTCCCTGGAGACATTCAAGGCTGAACCACAAACCTGACACCATCCTGGGTTGGGGATGGAGGCGGGAGTTTTCTCAGAAGCCATGCTCCACCCCCCTCTCCCCTCCAGGTCTGCCCGCCTCGAAGCTCCCCATGCTCCCCCACCCCTTACACACACAGCGAGGTGCGCACACGATCACCTGGCGCCCACCCGCCACCATCCTCCCACAGGAAGCCGCCAGGACCTGGGCCCTGACCCCGTAGCTCACTCACCCAGTGCAGGGACCCTATGCAGAGCTTGGCGGCCATCAGGGGCACCGTGGGGTCCGAGGGCCGCAGCTTCACGCACTCCCGCAGCAGCGACACGGCATAGGATGACTGCAGGAGAAAGGGTGGGCAACACAGTCACTCGCAGCCCTGGGCTGCGGCAGACTGGGTGCCTCATGCCCACAGTGGGGGCAGCTCCCAAACAGCCAGCCCCGGCTCTGCGCCCCGTTCCTCCCAAGCCAGGAAGAGGCCCAGCGGGAGGAGCCCAGGCGGTGGTGGCAGGCAAGTCCCCCTCCCCGAGTCTCAGTTTCCTCATCTGGAGAATGAAGGCTGTGACCCTTGCCCAGAAGTGCTGTGATAAGAGCTAAGGTGAGAACAGAGGGAAGCTCTTCAAAAGGAATTCAAATGTGAACCACAGAAATTTTAGAGGTAGAAGGAATTCTCTCAGACCCCTGAGTTCAACACCCTCAGTTTATAGGTGGCAAGATGAGGATAAGCTCACATGGGGACTGGAGGCAGGACCAGTGGTGGGGAGTGCGGGGAACATAAAGGCCGGCAGAGAAGCAGCAGGAGAGAAGCCGTGGGGATGGGGCCACACTAGACGTGCTGAGGATGGCCAAGTGCGGAAGGTCTGCAAAACCCAGCTCACAGGCCAAATCTGGCCCTCTGCCTGCTTTTGTTAATAAAGTTTTATTGGAACTTGGCCACGTCCATTCATGTGGATATTGCCTATGGCTGCTTTTATGACGCAAAGGCAGAGTGGAGTAGTTCCCACAGAGACTGTTTGGCCCGCAAAGTCAAAAATGTTTACTCTCTGACGCTTTACAGAAAGTGTGCTGACCCCTGTTCTAACTGCTTTATAAATATGAAGTCATTTGCTTTTCACAGCTCTATGAGGTAGGTAGCTATGTCCCTATTTACAGATGAGGAAACTGAAATGCAGAGAAGTTAAATAGTGTGTTTGAAGCCACACTGCCCCTAAGTGGCTGAGCTGGGGTTAGAACAGTCTGGCTCTAAGCTCGTAACCACTGCCCTATGCTGCCTCTGTGGTGACTCCCTTGGCCAGAGAGGAGGCCTCTCTCTCCCTGCTCTACACACACACACACACACACACACACACACACACACACGCGCGCACGCGCGCGCGCGAGTGTAACTACAATTCCCACAAGCTGGGCCCTGCAATGGGCCAAGTTCCCCGCCATTAGTTAGTTCTCATCCTCTCCAGGCCCCGCTGGGGAAATGGGGGATCTAGAGGACTCTCCCGTCCACAGCACAGTGTGGAGACTGGCTGATGGAGACCTGGGGCCCCACTGGTCTGTGTCCACTCTGGACCCCTGCCTTTCTCTAGCTCCCTTTCCCTTCCCCCCTGAGAAAGGAGAGCTTTTCTCAGCCCCAAGCATGGGGCTGGGGGATGTGGGGTCACTGCATGGAGGGGGAAGAGACCATGGCTCTTGCCTGTCAGGTGCCCACAGAAAGGCTGGGGAGAGACGACGAAGTCCCCACCACACTGCTCTCTCATGAAAGAAGAGGGTATGAGACCAAGAGGGTGTTAGCATATGACCGGCTGGGAGGCTGCGGGGGAGGGAGGTGCCTGGCCTGGGCTGGGGCGAGGGAGGCCGGTGAGGGGCTCTGCAAGAGCTGCCAGGCCATCCCCCTCTCCGGAGACCCCCTCCCGTGAAGGTCGCTCCCAGCTCCCTCAGCACGGCCCCTCTGCCCACACACTCCAGCAGGCCTGCCCTCTCCCTGGCTGCTGACCTCTGCATCCCTGAAACACGGGCTTCTCTAACCCTGACCCTCCACATCCCACCCCTACCCAGACCACAAAACACTGCTATTTAAGGAGCCATCTGAGGACTCCACAGTCGGAGCTGCGGGCTCTTTTTTTGTCATTCTGGTTACCTAGCAACGCAGCCACTGTGATTGCCGAGGAGACCAAGAGCAGTGACCTAAATCATGCCATGGGACTCCTCCTCTCTTCCTGCAGGTGGAGGTGCCAGATATATTGATATCCGCTCGGCCTCACCTTCTGCGCACAATCGCAGGTGCAGAACCTTGATTCCCACCTTAGGCTCTTGACAAAGGCGAGGTCTGGCCATGCTTCCGAGGGCTGCCTGAGCCAACCCGGCAGACTGATCCAGTGTGCGGGGTTCCTGAGGGGTGGGGGGTGGAGAGTGCGCTTCCAGAACAATCTCCTGCTGCACTGAATGCAGGGGCGGGTGTAACCCAGCCTGTGGGGCCTCACGCATGAGGAGCTCACTGATCACCCCAACCTCCTGCCTGTAAGGCCATTCTCGTATCCACCTTGCTGGTCTGGGCACCAGCTCCCCGGATCTTGGGGTGTGCCAGAGGTATGCCAGGCTGCATCTGGACCTCTCTGAGCCTGGCTCTTCTCAGTAAGGAGGTTGAAGACCCTGTAACGTGACACCTTTTCCTGAGACTGGGGGGGCTTCCAGGAGCACCCCCAGAAATTAAAGATAACTTCTGAGCACAGTGCACTCTTCTCAGGAGGGGTCACCACTTTCCTCAGCATCTCCAAGGGGTCCATGACCCACAGAAGGGTGAGAACCTGGCCCTGGGCCTCTTGGACCATACTCACTACTACAAGACTAGAGGCTCCTTCTCTGTTCCCTGGAGGTGGGAAGAAGCTGTCGCAACCCACTGCAAGCTGTCTGCCCAGGCTCCACACGAGCTCCAGCACCTCGCCACCCTGAGGGCCTCGCCCTGTCTGTGTTCTGAACTCTTAGCCTCGACGAGACCCTGCGGAGTGCAGAGCCAGGGTACGTCATGTCATGACTTCAGGATGTTCGGGGAGGTGGCCCGTGTGATGGGGGAAGGGGAAGAGGTTTGGGAAGACAAATGCCTGGCAAGGGAAGTGGGGTGCAGAGAAGGCTCCCACTTGATTCTCGGCTTCACCTCTCCGGGCCCTTCCCACCTGTCAGGCTGCAGCACCTGCCCTTCTTGCCCTTTCCTGCCAGGACCTGGCCACCCTCCATTCATGGAGGAGCTGCTGGCAAGGCCGGGAGGGCCCTCCTCAGAGATGGCTGCGGGGCTAGAAATGGCAGGTGGCGCGGTCCGGGCGGGACGGGGGGCAGGGAGGAATCCCCTCAGCCCCACAAATGGGCTCCGGGTGTTACAGCTCTTGGAACCATCTGCGAGCTCATGCCTCCTCACTTCCTGCCTTCGTAGCATCCTCGGCCCCAACACCCTCAGCGCCCAGCGCCGGAAAGGTTTTCCTTTCATGTCACTGCTGAGAATAGCGGCTTACGTAAGTGTGATTCTCATGGGAGGGAAAACCAGTGGGTGCTGGGGCAGAGCTTGGCGGGTGGAGAGCAAACGCAGCTCTGGAAACTGGAATAAGGTCAGCCCCGCGCTGAGCAGGGTTCCTCCTGACCACCCCCGGCCACGTCCTCCTCTCCTCGAAGCGCTCCCTCCACACTCCCTCAGGGGAGGGGGGGGCCCTGCTCCCTCCTAGGTGAGTTCCGGATGTCCTTTCCTGATGCCACGCTCCCTCCTGGGCAGGAAGAGAGCTGCGGCCCAAATGCAACAACGTTCCCCTCGCCTGGAACCCATGTCCATGCCTGCCTCAGGCAGTCACACCAACCAACTCACAGGCGGAAACGCTACGATGCCCCAGGCGTGCACATATACTCGGAGAAAAGCATCCGGAGACACACCTGCCTACCTGGCACGGCCGTAACTCACAGGCAGGCACCAGATTCACACAGGGGTCTGTGTGTGACCCTTCATGCCCCTCGTTCCCTGGAGATTAAAATCAGCTGCCGGACAATATTTCTGAATCACTGCCCCGCCCTCCGCCCACCTCTGGGAAGGACGAGGAGAGCAGACCACCTCCCCCGCCAAGGGTGAGTGTACAACCCCCAGCTCACCCTGGGTCTTACCTTCCCACAAGCCACCATGGACAGGGCCACTTGGTACCAAAGGTGAAATTCTCCAAATGCAAACTTCATGGCTCGCTCTAGGCACTGGGGAGAGGGAGACGGTCAGTACTTCCCCTCCAGGGGTCCTTCCCACACCAGCCCACCCCATACCCTTCCAGGGGAATCTCTGCCCAAGTCGCTTCCCGCAGGAGGTCGGCAGAGCTCACACTTGGTTCCTGTCAGAAAACTCCAGGGGTAACCTGTCTCTGCCACTCGCATGCTGTGTGAACTTGTGCAAGTCTCTCACCCTCTCTGGCCCTCGGTTCCCACCTCCATATCATGTGAACACCTCACAAGGGCGATGGTGAAAACCAAATGAGATTGGTTAAAGTGCTTTCAAAATGTAAACATCAAATAAAAATAATAACAGCTGACAATTCTTCTTACTATTGTGCCTGGCACCATACTCAGCTTTCTACATGTATTAAGTCATTTACTCTTCCCAGTGAAGAAGGTTCTCTAATTACCCCCCACTTCACAGATGAAGAAGCTGAAGCTAGGGCCAGTCAGTGGCAGACGTACTGACTCTAAAGCCCGTGCATAAAACGCTGCCCAAATGTACACGCTTCCTTCTGCTCTTCTCTACGACCACCGAGAAAAACCGTCTGTTCCCTGGCCACTCTGATCCTGGGCCACTCCAAGTCAGGGGCTGCCTGTGAGATCTGACAGTCACCATCAGAAGTGGTTCCAGGTGACAGAGGCAGAAGCCAGCATTCGAGGCCAGGATTCACTGTGTGGCCGTGGTCAGGCAGGTGGGGGACAGAGGTGAGGGGTACAGGACCACACAGCAGATACTTTCAGAGCTTGGTGGCCTGGGTCCCCCCGTGCTGGCTCAACTGCACTCCCTGCACCATCCTGGGCAGAAACCCACCTCTCTGGGCCTCGCCTTCCTCACTGGTGAACTTGAGAGACCGCTTATCCCCCCACGTTAAAGAAGGTATCTGCTGGAAGCACCTCGCACGGTGCCTCGGTGTGAGTAAGGGCTCAGCAGGCGTGACCGCCCCTCCTCTCGGGAGCCCTCCCAAACACGTGCAAAGAGAAGGCCACCTGTACAAGGGGCCGAGGGCCCCCATGCCACCCTTGATCCCAGCCTGGATCTGAAAGCTCAAAGAAGCGTGCAAGCCATTCGCACTGTGGGGAGGGGGCAGGAGAGAGCGGCAGCTCTGTGCTCCTGGTCCCCACATCCTGGAGAGGGACCACCCTCTGGGCCCAGCCCATGGAGCACTGCCCCGGCAGTGTCTGCCCAGTACAGTGGGCGTGCTCCAGGCTCCCGACCACACCCAGCTCAGAACCCTGCCAGGACAGGTCGTCACAGAACACCAGCATCACCTCTGGGGGAAACTGAGGGGTGCATAACTTTCCTCCTGTGCTTCTCTATACAACACCATGCGTTCTTTCCAAGAAAAAACACATGAAAATATCTGTAAAACAGGGTTTCCCTGGTGGCGCAGTGGTTGAGAGTCCGCCTGCCGACGCAGGGGACACGGGTTCGTGCCCCGGTCCGGGATCCCGCATGGGGCGGAGTGGCTGGGCCCGTGAGCCATGGCCGCTGAGCCTGCGCGTCCAGAGCCTGTGCTCCGCAACGGGAGAGGCCACAGTAGTGAGAGGCCCGCGTACCACAAAAAAAAAAAAAAAAAAAAAAAAATCTGTAAAACAAATAAACAAAAACCACCCTGCCAGTGAAGGGCAGCCCTCTCGGCACTGGAAATAAGACAGTCCCCAGCTGGGTCTCCCAAGAACAGAGCTGTACCCCTTGGTGGAGGCAGGGGAGGGGCAGCGGAGGAGGCTGTACCTCGGAGAGCATGACGTACTGGCCCCTCCTGCCCAGCGTGATGCTCAGGAGGTCGTAGATGGCCGCAGCGTTCCGCAGGCTCACTGCCCGGTCCTCCTCCTGCTCCGGTGCCCGGCTCAGCACCACATCCCGAGTAGCCTGTGGGGAGACCCGGTTTAGGGAAGAGCAAGGACAGAAAATGAGCAGGTGCCTGTCCCCACAGGGCCCCTGCCTCTGAGGCCCAGTGACCGTCGCCCTTTTGCTGCTGACCCAGGCCACACTCCTAGAACCAGCCAGAGCCTTTCCCCACCCCCAGGACAGAGAGCAAACCCTCCACCCACAGCCCGGGCTGGGGTGAGACGGCAGTCCTGAGGGCCCATGCTCCTGAACTTCAGTGTTTTATTCTGCAAACAGTCAAATCTACAGAAAAGCCACAAGAACAGTACCATAGCAGTAAACCCAATTGTTAACACTGACCACACTGGCTTTGTCTCTCTAATAATAATAATAGTAGTAGTAACAGTAGTAGTAGTTAAGGCAACTTGGCCCTTCACTCTAAAGAAAAGAGGACAGTCTTTCTATAACCACAACAGAAATGCCAAATTCAGGAAGTGGAACGCCGTTATTTCTATTCCCTAATACCAGCTCATATCCAGATTTCGCCACCTGTCCCATTGATGGCCTTTCTGGTAGAGTCATCGTGCCAGGATCCAATCCAGGATTGGTGCCATGTCTCTCGTGCCCCCTTTCGTGGGAGGAGTCCTGCAGCCCTTGCCTGGCTCCAGGATACTGGCATTATTGAGGATACAGGCCAGCTGTTCTGGGGGACAGCTCCTTGTGTGTGTGTAACCGTCCACTCACAGAAAGAGCTTCAGATAGCATCTGGAACTGACTAGATCAGATGGGCGGCTCTGCAGCTCGACTCACAGGACGGGCGTTTGGGCTGTGGCCCCTCCGTGCCCTCTTCTCTTCCTCTGCAGGCCCCCCAAGTCCCTCTGATAAGGAACCTCATACCTCCTTCCTATCACACCTGCGTCCAGCCCAGACCTATCCCTGACTCCTTCTGACTACGGAACCCTCCTCTCTGTCCCTCCTCAAAACCCGGGGTCTCTGTGCTTGGCATGTGGCCCTCAGGAGTCCAGCAGCTCAGAGCTGCCTGGGCGGGGCGGGGTTTGCTGCTCAGAGAGGGGAGGGGCGAGGGGAAACGTGCTTTAGGAGTGGGCGATTCTGTACGATCTGAAGGGGGAACTCTGTATCACCCCATCAGGGTGAAATCTCCCCGTCAGGAACTGGGGACCCTTGTTCTGTGGCCTGTGGTCCCACCCTCTCTTGTACACTCACACCCTGGGGACAGCACTCAGGCTCGGGAGTAGCGAAACAGGAGTCACGGGGATCCCCCGCAGGGTGGGGACTAGGCTGGGGATGCTCTGGGCCCCCCATGTCTCCTACACACAGACACACACACACACAGGTACACACAGACACACACACACACACTGAGGGCTGTGCCTGAGCTGAAGCGAAGCTGGGTTCTGGCCAGACGCCCCCACTGGCTGCTCCCAGCATCCTCCCCTCTCCTGCCTCTTCTCCCCTCTGCCAAAGGGGTCTCTTCCCAGCATCCCCCTCCGTCTGTAGAAGAGGCTGAACCCCCTTCCATGAGTTGGGACTCGCCCTCCTCTACTTCCCCACAAAGGACTGCAGATCCAAGAACTTGGCCTTTTTGACAGAATAAAAGGGACCTGCTGACTCTTAAAACGCAGATCCCCACTGGTCAGGTTCAAACAATGCTTCAACAGGTGGTCCTCACAACCTTCTTCCGGGCAGGACTACTATCCCCTCCTCCAGGTCAGGGGCTGAGGCTCCCCAGGGTGATGACTGCAGAGGCAGAAGCTCAACGGCCTTTGGACTGTAGGCTCTGGACGTGTCCTACCGTGCAGGCCTGAAGCACATTCCCACAGAGGCTTCTGGAAGCCAAAATACCTATAAGACCCAAGGACGTGACTCACCCAGGGAGGGCATTTCAGTAAGGCAGGCCAGGGGCCAGGGGTCCTGATGGCTGCCCTTCTAGGTACAATAGGCAAGGGCTGCCCACCGCCCTGACGGGCGTGGACCTGCCCCAGGAAAGGATGCCGGGGATGCCAGGATATTCCCAGAAAGGCTGAGCACCAGTGCCAGCCTGGTAAACAAGAGCTGACGGTCAGGTGCCAAAGGGTTAAGGGAGAGGAATGGAGAGGGAAAGGGCCAGAGAAATCCCCCTCCTTCCTGGTGATATCCACCCACACAGGCAGCAACAGGAAGAGAGAAGAGATTCTAAGGAGAGCCATGGCAGGAACTATTACAGTGAGAAGCACAAAACTCGCTCTGCGCCTGGCCGTGGACCTCCCCACTCCTCCACCTCCAGCAACGCCCCAGCTCTCGCCGCCCTGGGTGGGCCCCTGAGAGGCGGCCCCCACCAGGCAGCAGTGGGGGTGGGGTCGGGTGCAGGAGGTCAGGGAATGAGAGGATGGGAGACACAGTCCCTGCACTCAGGGAGGGGCTCTGGAAACGGGATGCAGCCGCAGTACACAACAAACACAGTGAGCGGATCTGACCTAGAACTCTGGTGGGAGAGACAGGTCCTGATGGAAGGCTGCCTGCAGGACACATCCAGGATCGGGGACCCACCCATGCAGACTAGTCCCATGCAGGGGATGGTGAGCAGTGAGCTCTGGTCGCCCTATCCTCCAGGCGCAGCCCCTGCCAGACCCCACCTCCCAACTCCCCCACTTTCTGTGGCTGCCATGAGACGCTGCCCACCTGGCCAGCTTCTCTCCACTAGCTCCCAAGTCCTTCCCTGCAGCTCCCTCTCCTAACCGAGGCCCATCTTTGTTCCGTCTGTCAATGTGGATGCCTTTTGGCTCCTCAAACTCAATTCAAGGATCCCTTCCTTCTGCCACTGTCCCCGACTTATCTCAGCAGGCAAGGCTGCCCACCCCCCCCATCCTCTCCCAACCCTGGGAACACACCCGGGCCCCTGCACACCCCACTGGCTCATGGGTTTTCGGGGCAGGGATGCATCTCACTCATCTCGAGCCTCCCAGCCCCAGCACAGGCCTGCACACAGCACTCTCAAGTGACATTAGAAAGAGAAGGATCTCTGGGCCTGGTGTGGAAACTTCCTCCTGTTGCCCTAGACCTTGACCTTTAAGAGAACAGCGTCTCTGAATGTGTGTGCCTGGTGGGAGGGAGGCATGAATTTCCAGCTCTGGGCAAGCATTAGGTCGGCAGGACAGGAACAGAAGAGGGGCTCACAGCAGCATCTCCTCTGCCTGGGGACCGCCCCCCAACACACAGACAGTGGGGAAGGCATCTTCTCGGGGGTCCTCAGGACTTGGCATTTGTGCCAAGAGGAAAGCGTGGGTCCCCAAAGGAACGCCAAAAGCAGAAGTTTGCCGAGTGGTTGCTGTGGCTTCGGGGCAGGGCTGCAGTGAAATGCTCCAGTGCTTGCAGGGCAGCTGGGCAGCATGTGTACGTAACCATACAACAGGGTGGGGTGGGGAGAACTGGGGCAGAAAAAAAAGAAGCCTCGGGGGGGCTGGCAACAGGGTAGGAATTCACGCGCAGCTCAGGGGCCAGAGCAGGCCTCAGTGCACAGGGCCTCAGACCCTCTGGGGGCTTCAAGTCTCTACCCAGGGCATCCCAGGTGTCCCATTCCCTCCTCTGCTACACTCACCTTCCTCAGGCCACACTGCTCCCAGCTCCACCAGCAGCCTGCCTTTAACTAGTCCCAGTCACACTCTTTCCCTTCCACCATTTAAATGTCCTCACATGGAAATCCTCCGATCAGATGCAGTGAGAGACATGAATCGTGCAGAAACTAAATGGTCTTCTCAACACCATACTCCTTACTGGTTTGGGGATAATGGCAGGCTATTTTCCTCTGTTTTCCCCTGCAAAACCCCCAGGTCCCCCACCTCTGGGGGTGCCCTGCTCTTATTTAATCCATGCATTTAATCCCAGGCAGGGCTCAGCAGCTGTCCCTGAGACAAGCTCCTAGCCTTGGACCCTCTGCTGTCCTCCCAGGGGCAGTCTCCCCAGACTAAGGGACGTTCACCCCAGGCCTCCAGCAGGTCAGAAGAGGAAAAGCCAAAGAAACGTGGTCCTCCCCACCCCACCATCATCCAGTGTGACCCACTTGTGGTCTTTGGACACGTATCCATGAAGCAAATACGGGGCCACAAGGGCATCGCCATTCCCCGAGGTGGGGGCAGCCCACGTGACACCTCAGGCAAGATGGTTCTTGCTCAAACAGCCATCCCTCATGTGTGTGCCATGCATTTTAGGAACTGAATTATCACTGCCATGATCTCACAGTAACCCCACAGAGGGGCAGGATGAAACTGCTGATGCCCCCTTTGCAGGCAGGGAAACTGAGCCCCAGAGGGTGTACTAACGTGTGCGGGGTCTCCAGGAATTAAGGCTGAACCTCCGATAGCCAGTCCAGGATGGCTTCTGCTGCCCTGAGCACCTGCTGTCTTGTGGGCTCCTCTGCCAGCCCTGGTCCCCACCCTCTGCTGGCTGCAGGGCCACAGACAGCACTGACCTTCACTTCGCCCAGTCCTGTTTCTCCTTTGAGCCTGGACACAGCAGGGTAGAAGAAGGAAAGGAAACTAACTTGTAGAGCACTTTGTAAGTGGTATCTCATAATACTGACAACAACCATCTCCTGTTCTACTGTCCTATTTTACAGATGAGAAAACTGAGGCCCAGAGAGACCAGGGAGGCTCCTCAAGGCATACATATAGGGGGTTTAGGACCCAGATTAGAGCCTAGACATTCTGACTTCACCCCTGGCTCTTCTCCTGCCTCCAGGTGCTTCCAAGGAAGTGTCCACTAGCCCCGCCCATGCCATCAGAGGCCCTCAGATGTCTCTGCTTAGGGAAGCACCAAAGCAAAACACAGGCTGGACTTTCTCAGTCAGGCCTCAGGTGCTGCTTCTCTGCAGAGAACAAGCTCCTTGGACCACATCAGCCCTGTTCTCAGGGACAACCTCTCTGCTGGCCAAGGACCCAGCCTCAGGGCCCACTGCTCACCTCCAGCAATCGCCCCAGAAAGGAGTCTCCTGGTGCCAGTCTGCCTGGCCCCTGCCCCTCCTCCCTGGAGGATGCTGTCCCGTTCTGCTCGTGCTGTCACCCCCACCGGCAGCCATCATCACCACCGGCTCTCCAGCCGCCAGTCCACAGAGCCAAGGAATAACATGCTCTGTGCCGTGTCCCATCTACACGGCGGCCCCAGCCAGGCCCCCGCCAGCCCACGCTCCTGCGCATCGGGCTCCTACAGCAGAAATCTTCCTGCCAACGAGGGCGCGAGGCTCTCCCACCTCCACTGCTCCGAGGGTTCTGAGCTGGCAGCATTAACAGACCCTTTCCGCTTGCAGCCTGCAGCACAGCAGGACCTCACGTCACAGCAAACCAGGCGCCAGAAGCTGAAACTATCTGTGCTCATCTGCTAAGACCCGAATGGAATCAAGCCCGAGAAGCGTTTTTGTTTTGTTTTGTTTTTTTAACCAAACAGTATATCCTCAAACCAATTTTTCTCCCAACCAGACCTGAATCTAAATGTTTTCTAAAATTAATGACTCAGAACCAGGTAGTCATCAGGATAAGACGCATACATGCTCAACACCCACAATGTACCAGGCAGCTTCGTGCTCATTTTCTTACTTCATCCACCCAATGCCTGCAAGAGAGACCTTATTAGCCCCATTTTACAGAAAACTGAGGATCAGGGAGGTAAGAGACTTGCCCAGGCTGCACAGGTTGTGAACGGCCAATTCAAGATGCAAGTCGCTGGGGGCCTGATGTTGGGCACGGATGGCAGTTCGTTTGTTAACCTGCAGGATCCCAGGCCCCAGGGGCTTACCCCCCCGACCCTCTCTCACCCAAGCCTCTGTGTCCTTTCAGCTCCCCAAAGCCTGACACCGGCAGAAGCTTCTCCCCCAGCTGAACGGAACTGGGGCTCGAGGATTCAGTTTGCTCTAACACGTATTTTTATGCCTTAGATCAAGATTTGAGAAATGGCAGAGTCCTGTACCTCCTGGTTACCCAACTGAGAAAATCAGGCTGATTTTGACACATGGTTCTTTCAACCACTAGTCAGAAAGAGAAAAACAAATACCGTATGCTAACACATATATATAGAATCTAAAAAAAAAAAAAAAGTTTTTGAAGAACCTAAGGGCCGGACAGGACTAAAGACACAGATGTAGAGAATGGACTTGAGGACACGGGGAGGGGGAAGGGTAAGCTGGGACAAAGTGAGAGAATGGCATGGACATATATACACTACCAAACGTAAAACTGATAGCTAGTGGGAAGCAGCCGCATAGCACAGTGAGATGAGCTTGGTGCTTTGTGACCACCTAGAGGGGTGGGATAGGGAGGGTGGGAGGGAGACGCAAGAGGGAGGGCGTATGGGGATGTATGTATACGTATAGCTGATACACTGTTATACAGCAGAAACTAACACGCCATTGTGGAGCAATTATATTCCAATAAAGGTGTTAAAAAAAAAACAACTAGAATATGCATTTGAGGTTCAGCAGACTGAGATAATTCCTTCTGATCTGGGGACCAGGATTTCCTCTGTGTCCCCAGACACATGTTCCACTGGGTAGGAAGACGCCTGGGACGAGCGCTGTGATTTAACTATTCCTCACTCTACCCCCGGTGCTGGGCACAGCTCAGCACACTGTCGCTGCTCAAACAAGACTGGATGGTGGAGAGATGAGTAGGTGGGTGGGTGGATGGGCATTTTTAAGTGTCCTTTCGGTGCTGAAAACTCAAAACTGAGTTCAAAACACAAATCTCCTTTAGCCAGTTATAACTCACGTCCCTTGCGCTTCTGTGAAAGCATCTGTAAGGTTTCTATTTACCTCTTGAAAGACAAGGGCTGCCCGATTCATTCCCATCACACTCAGCCCGAAACAAAAACCGTACTTCAGGTACCAACCCCACACCCAGCCCCCAGGCAGCCTACTCCTCTGAGCTGCAAACCACAAAATAGGGGCGGACGTGCTCAGGAAACCTGCAACACCCTTTCCTGAAGCAGCTAGCTGTGGAGAAGTGGAGAGCTGTGATGATTATGCCTCCTGGGCTGGCTGTGCTGGAATAGCTGTTACTGCCGCATAAAGAATTCTGCAGGGATTAGGAGAACCCAAGGAGCAGCCAAGGCAGCTGCTGCTTCTAGAGGTTTCTCCCTATCATCTGGAGCCAAAGCCAGCCAGCACTAAAGGGAGATGAGGAAAACCCTGCTGGCACATGGAGGCCGGGCTGAGCCTCAGGGGTCGGCTGAAGGGTCAGAGCAGGAGCCTGGCGCCCACACCTGACGGAGAATGTGACCTGCAGGAAAGGAGGGCGTAAAATAAGGGCGAGTGAGAAGTCAGAGGCGGTCTGGTCACTCTGAGAAACCGCGCGGAGCCACAGCGGCCAGATCCGGATCCCAGGTGGAAAGCCCTCGATAGATGAGACACCAAAGCTACGTCCATCGCCAACGTCCTCCCCCAAATACCTGAAGCTCCTAGATGTGTGACAGGCTGGGTGTGAGCAGGAGGAAACCAACCAGCCAGCCCTGGAAGACTGCCTCCTCCCAGCTACGGCACACTCGGCGTCTGAGCACTTCTGCTGCTCTGCAGGCCACAGGGAAGTCCCACGACACCCGCCTGGCCAGCCGGCCTGGATCCCCCGAGTGGCCGGTGGAGGCCAGCCGGCCACATACCCTCTTGAAAGAGCTGCTTAGAGGGAAACCACCTTGGCTCCAAGTATGGGTCACCTTTTAGTAAAAGGCCATTCTCTACTTTGAGATATACGGGCAGCTTGAGGGTTTGGGGGGAATAACTTTAATGGAAAGGCATCTCAGCTCTGGTTCTGGGCACCCGGATCAAGCAATGGCCACAGAAAATACTTAGGGAGACAAAGCCCAGCCTCTATCCCTGCCAGGGATCAAAATGCTGACCATTCTCACACAGACAGCCAAGGCCTTCCTTGTTTACAAAGCTCTCCCCAAGCTCTGTTGCACTTGATCCTCAAAGTCACCCCCTTGAGCCTCTGACAGATGAGAAAACCAAGACTTAGAGCCGTCAGTGAATCACAGACGTGATCTGAATCATGGCTGCAAGGATTATTAGTATGTAACCTTGACCAAGACATGTACCTGTCCTGGACCTTACTTTTCTCACCTGTAAGATGGGAACATATTAGTATTAGACTGAATCATATGAAACTGTTATTTTTCAAACCGCTCAACACAATGCCTACCTAGATGAGATAATCAGCTTGGAATCTGGCAGAGAAAGGACCTAAGAAACGTTCCCATTTTCACCTTTTTACTTCCCACCTGCGGACAACACCGTAACCCTCAGCATAGGAAAGTGACAATAACGCCCTGTGTTTCCTGAGACAGGTGAGTTCTGTGCAGTCACACCTGATGGTGCAGGTGCTGAGATGGCTGAGGTGTGTGAAGGGGGCAGGGAGAGGATACTGGTCTATGGCTGAGGTTCCATAATTAAGAAATGGGGTTCAGTCTGTGAGAAGTACACTGTTCTCCCATGACAATCGGACCTGGCACTTGGTACCTCTACTTCCACGTTGGGCTAACCAGCTAGATGTCCCCACCCGGCAGCAACCACCTCACCTCCACACGAGCACCCACCGTGCAAACCTTTCAGGACCATGTCCCAGCCAGTCTGTCCTCGGGATCCAAATATCCACGCCCCTTCCCCGGCACTCTTGGATCCGAATGGACCCCGCCTGGCTGGGGAAGGATACACTCTCTCACCCCCGAGTCCAGGGTCCCTCTTCCTGTCTACTTGCTGGGGGACCTGCTCAGCCAGAGGCAACCCACTGACCAGAGTTCTCTAAACAAACCCTGGCATCACACAGTCCCAGGTTTCCAAAGGGACATTTGTTTTTTGCTATTTGGGGACCCAGTTTCTTAAACTCCACTTTCACACACTGCTCTCAGATGCATCATCTTAAAAAACCTAGTTCTCAACCCGGGGGTCCCCAGCTCGTAAGCTCTGAGGGGTCCCTCAGTCAGAGGACACCTGGCTTTGATGCTCTTGCCCACCCTTCCTTCAGCCCCCTTGGACCACCCATCCTTCATCTCATCACCTCCCGGATGACCCAACACACTTCTCCCCGACGCTGAGCCTCCACGGCACGTGTGTGTGTGCGTGCGTGTGCACATGTGTGTTTGCCCGGGGCAGGAGAAGCGGGTCTTGTGAAAAAAATCTAGAGAGCATTTCACGTGTGCTCTATCCGGCACACCTTACCCCCTCCGCCTTATTTTTCCACAGCACTTAGACGTCGCAACCCTGGGTAGTTGAGTAGTTAATTCACTTATTGCCCACCTCCCTCACTAGAATGTAAGCTCCATGAGGGCAGGAAGTTTTCTCCGTTTTGTTTGCTGCTGCTTCTCTGGAGTCTAGAACAGGGCCTGGCACAAAGTGGATGACACTCTGTATTAGGAGTGGCATGAATGAGTGAATCCCTTGTACAGGCACCTCGCCTCTGTGAGTTACTATCACCTTAGCGGTGGGAGCTGAGGCTCACAGAGCTTAGGTGATCTGCCCAGGGCCCTCAGCTACTGAGTGGCAGGGCCGGAACCTGAATCCAGGCCTCCTGCCGTGAAAGTACACGTTCCTTCCACCCCCTTCCATCATCACCGACCCAGCACAGAACTGTCCACGCAACCTTCTGTTGACTTGCTGATGACACCTTTTGTAATTCCAGAAGCAGGAGGTGGGAATCTGTTAGCTCGCCCAGTCCCTACTCATGCAGGGGTAGGACCCAGGCCCCCGAAAGCGGCCTTGTACTCCACACCTCGATCTCATGAGGGAGCTGCACCCCCTGAGGGGGGAACAGATCCAAGAGGCCTGCTTCAGGGACATCCCTGGGGGCTGAGCGCGGCCAGGACCCGGTGGGCGGTGCCCAAGCCCCACAGCTTTACTGCACGGGCCAGAGGCCTTGAGCTTACCATGGACTCGCTGATGAGCAGCAGCAGCAGGGCTTCCTCAATGTTATCCTTCGGGCAGTAGAGGCTGGAAGACACAGAGGGCAGCCTGGGCTGCAGCACGGCCCTCCGAAGCAGCACGCTGGCCTGCCACGCTGGCCCTTCTGCCCCGGAGTCAGCACCCGCCCTGGTAAGGTGACCTTCTCCTGCATAATTCACAGGCACTGGATCCCACCTGCAGCTCTTTATCATGCCCCAGAGGCATGGATCTGAAAGCCTACGGTGGGCGAGGGCTGGAAACACTGCAATGCTCTTGAGGGGGATGCCCCTTCCAGCCCCCAGCACCGCGTGAAGCGGCTGGGGCCAGCAGCAGACGAGAGCGAGAAACAAGCTCACAGACCCCACCTTCGATTACTGGCACAAACACGACAGACGGTGCATTAAGACCATTAGGAAGGCAGGTATCCCCCCTCCCCCCGCCCGCCAAATAATTTGTTTGGCCTTTGGGTGCCTTAGAGGATGGCCCCTCAACCCCCCACCCCAAGACCTGCCTTCTCTAGTCTATTTGGCTCCGCTGCTTCTGAAGAGCCTGCCTGGCAGGGAGCTGGGCGGCGGCTGCAGGAGAGCATGGGGCAGAGAGAGGGGCCGCCAGTGGGGACCGAACCCTGGGGACGGTGGCCTGAGCCTGGGGTGGTCCCCAGAGCAGATAGGCTTACTTGTCTCCTTCGTAGAGTTGAGGTTTCCGCAGGGCCTGTGTGATGAAGGAATTCTCCTCCTTGCTCATGAACTCGGGCAGTGGGTGGGACAGGGGGCTCCAGTAGCATTCCTCGCTCAGGGAGTGCAGCAGGACCCCTGCCAGGTGCTTGGCTGCCATCTGGCAGAGAGGGAGGAGCTCAGATGCAGGCAGGTGCTGGCTCTGCCCGGCCGCGGCCTGCCGTGCCCTCCACCCACCGTCCAGCCAAATCTGCCTGCTTGCAAATCGCTGCCCCTCCAGGAGGTCCACCACTGTGCCCCAAGGAGCCCCCTTGCTTCTCTGTATCTCCAGCACTGAGCTGCCCCACCCCGTCTGTTGGCCTGTGATGGCTCCGACTTCATCTTTTGTCCTCTCTCTTCTCCTAGACAAGAGGGACATTTCCTCCTCCTCCTGGCCCCACGGAGCCCAGCACGGCTCAGAGTACTCACAGCCCTTGCAAAGCATAAAGCCCTCAGCGCAAGCAGCTCTCTGCACCAGATACCTTTCTGATATTTGACCGAAAAGTCTAGAGTGAGAAGCAGCTGTGGCTCTGATTAGGGGTAGAAGCCTAAGAAGGTAGGCCTGAACTGGGGCAGGAAAGCAAGCCAAGGTTATTTAGTAAGATCATAAACAAATCCCTAAGAATTAGCACACCACCTTGCTAGGAAGGGATGACAGGAGGTTTCAGCATTGATCTAACATGAGGGGCTATGTGCAGTGCTGCGACGAGAAGGATGCTGAGGGTGTGGCCCAGGCTTGGAGGAAAAGAATGCTGAGATTGACTAGCAATGTCTGCCATGAGCATGACAGGGAGAGGAGAAGCACACACTCCCCTGATTCAGAGGCTGCCTGCTAGGATTTCTGCTGCCTCCCACTGAAATCAACTCCTGAATAAACCAGCCACAGCCAGCACCCAGCCCTGGGGCCTCCTCCATTACCACTTTGAAGTTCTGAGTTGCTTTGGTCTCCACAGTGCGTAGGACCTCCCGGAGTTCTCTCATGCCTTTCACGATGTTCCTAGCAGGAAGACAGTAGAAGCAGGGTCATTACCAGCCTAGTTCCCACACAGACATCCTCATCAAACCTGCAGACACTAGGAGGAGCCTGCCCATTTGAGTGTTATTTGAAAACATCCAATAATTGGTATGAAAGGTCAGAATTGTAACACCATGATCCTAGAGGCCCAGGACAACAGTGATCAAAGAATAGAAAGGATCCTTCTCCACTGTAGCTCTCTAGAAACCCAGGCCTCCGGTTTACCACCAGAAAGAGACCAGGATCGAGTATTTCAAACAAGATGTTATCTTGGCCCAAGTGCTTTGGGCTGGTGCCAGACTTTCTGACTTCAGTCAACCTCAAATCCTCCATTTTCGGGCTTCCCTGGTGGCTCAGTGGTTAAGAATCTGCCTGCCAATGCAGGGGACACGGGTTCAAGCCCTGGTCCGGGACGTTCCCACACGCCACGGAGCAACAAAGCCCGTGCACCACAACTACTGAGCCTGCACTCTAGAGCCCGCGAGCCACAACTACGGACGCCCGCGTGCCTAGAGTCCATGCTCCGCAACAAGAGAAGCTACCGCAATGAGAAGCCCACGCACTGCAACGAAGAGCAGCCCCCGCTCGCCGCAACTGGAGAAAGCATGCACGCAGCAAGGTAGAGCCAACGCAGCCAAAAATAAATAAATAAAATAAATAAATTAAAAAAATCATATTAAAAAAGCTATTAGGGCTTTCCTGGTGGCGCAGTGGTTGAGAGTCCGCCTGCAGATGCAGGGGACACGCGTTCGTGCCCCGGTCCGGGAAGATCCCACATGCCGCGGAGCGGCTGGGCCCGTGAGCCATGGCTGTTGAGCCTGTGCATCCGGAGCCTGTGCTCCGCAACGGGAGAGGCCACAACAGTGAGAGGCCCACGTATCGCAAAAAAAAAAAAAAAAAAAAATTAAAAAAAAAAAAGCTATTAATGAGATTAAAAAAAAAAATTCTCCACCTTCATCTGCCACATCCGGTCTACACTGGAATCCATCCTCACCTCTCAAGCCCTACCACCAGGGCCCTAGACTGGCCTGCATCACCTGGGGCCTAGATGACAGTGACAGCTGGTCTCACCCCCTCCAGTCAGCCCTCTGTGCCTTAAAGTCATTTGCGAGCTTTTTAAAGTGTGATCCATAGTAAGAAATACACCTGACATTGCAACCCTGTATATATGCACACACTGCTTACATAAAACTGAAGTTAAGTTTCCTGATATATTACCTGTCTCTACTATGTGCAATGCAATCCACTCCCATATTTTCTCTTTTACGTCTCCCACTACTTCCCCATTTTAAAAATGCTGGCGGCAGCCCACTAAACAATCTTGCAACCCACTGATGGGTGTGGCCTGAGTTTGAAAAACAACTCCCACTGCCCCTTGAGGGCTCTACCTGACATGTAAAAGTCATCTTGTTCCTTCCCATGTTGGCCTTTCGTCGGTGCCCCCAGGCTTACAGAATTCAGTCTAGGCCCTCAGTACGGTGTCCCAGGGCTGTCGGGTCTGCCCCTTGGCTCTCTCCCATCTCATCTCCCACCACTCAAGTCCTTTCTAAACAACCGTCCACAGTTCCCTATGTCAAGTCTTGGAACAGGTTTCCCCCACTGCCTTAAAGAGCCCTTCCCCTACACATCCTTAAAAAAATCTGTGTTTTTACACATCACTTTCCAACATCACTTCCTCCGTGCAGCCTTCCCTGGGCCCCTCCCCACACCCACCCCTCCTGACCGCATAGCTCTCGCCCCGTGTTAAGTCCTCTTTTGAAGCAAGCATGGCATTGCAGCCATTTTCCATTTACAGGCTGAACCCTTTCCCACTGTGCACCCCCTGAGGGCAGTCTTGTTCCTGAAGCTCAGCCCGGGCATGTGTGCTCAGCAAATGTCTGAGGACTGCCGCCCTCACTTGTTCCGGGGGGTTCCCTAGATCGATAGCTCGCAAGGGAAAGCAGAGGCTCCCAGGCCAGCAAATTTAGAAATGAAAGATCACAGAGGGTGAAGAGCCAAAGGTGGCAGCCGGGAAAGTCACGTGAGCCCCTCCTGCAGCTTTCATGAATGAAACAGATTCCTGGGGGCTCTGGAGCTTGGAGGCATAAAAGGACAGGAGATCAATTCCTTGCCTTCTGGGAACCTCTGGTTTCATACAAGCCCCAAATGTGCAAACCACCAACACTATGAACTCAGACTCCTGTCTGTAAGGCTGAGGATGGAGACAAAGACCTGGGGAATAGAGTCAGAGCCACAACGATACTCCCTAGCCTGCCTAGAGCTTCTGAAGAACCAGGAGGGGCAACCACCACAGGGCTCCACAGGGTCCTTAGAGATGGTTCGTGCCTGGGCACTGCTACTGAGGGCAGAGCTCACCTCTGTGGGCTATGCACGGCCCTCTCCTCTATAAAGTCAGGTCTTCAGTTGCAATCAGCATTCCCCCGACTTCTGTCATCTGCATACCACATCTACAATTTTTGCTACTAGCTGTACACCATCAGTGTCATTATTTTGTGTAATACTTTTCTTTATATCTTCTTTCTTTTTACTTCAGTAGATATCTCACCTTAATCAAGCATACCTGAAATCATGGACTTGGTATACTAGTTGCTTTGTTTCAGGGTCCTCCCCCAATACACACTTAATTTAGGAATGAGAACTGCAATTTTAACAGGATCTTGTGCCTCCAAAGTTGTATATTTTTACTATTTTCAAATCTATACGGGACTCTGACATCTAAATGAGCTCCCAGGAATTCTTTAGCAAAGCAAATAATCACCTTTAGGCATCTTTGGGGTAAATCCCACTTTTTATTGAATGCAGGTAAAGAGAAAAACCAACATAGGTTCCAGGGGCCAGGGCTAGACAAAGAGACATCTGGGCTCCTGGCTGGTGCCGACCTGTTCTGAAATGTCGGGAATGCCCCTCCGCCTCAGCTCAGCCCTCTGGGAAATGGGAAACTAGATGGGGTTTCTCCCACCAGCTTGAGTAATCCTGTCCTGGGTATAAACTGTCAGTGCCAGGTAGAGCTGGGGCTTTTCTGAGCCCCACGAGAGGCCAGCTTGAAAGATCTTTTTGTTCTGGTCTCTCACACTGACCTTTCTGAGCAAAGCTGCCACTTTTAACAATATCCAAACAGGGCCTCAAACAAACCCTGGCTCAGAATCAGGCTGCATGTGGAGAAGCCAGGAGGTCACGGATTCCAACTCAAGTAAACTCTGGCTGGCCAGGAGCAGAGAAAGAGGATATGTACATGCAGGGATGGGTCAAGGGAAACAGCTCATCTTAGGGGGGCCTCCAGGGGAGCCATGCAAGGAGGCGGCAAGCTCCCCCAGGCCCCTGGTCAGCAGTAGGCAGCGGGGCAGATTTTTCCAAAGCACTTCATCTTATCCGGTCTTTGCAACTTCTAATGAGGTTGGTGAGGGAAGCTTCACATTCCCGGGTACCAGCACAATGCTTAGAACATAGAAGGCCCTCAACAAATCACTGTGGGAACTTCCCTGGTGGCGCAGTGGTTAAGAATCCACCTGCCAATGCAGGGGACGTGGGTTCAAGCCCTGGTCCGGGAAGATCCCACATGCCGCAGAGCAACTAAGCCCGTGCGCCACAACTACTGAGCCTGCGCTCTAGAGCCCACGAGCCCAAACTACTGAGCCCATGTGCCACAACCACTGAAGCCCACGTGCCTAGAGCCCGTGCTCCGCAACAAGAGAAGCCACCGCAATGAGAAGCCTGCGCACCGCAACGAAGAGTAGCCCCCCTCTCAGCACAACTAGAAAAACCTCACGCACAGCAACGAAGACCCAAAACAGCCAAAAATAAATAAATTAAAAAAAAAAGAAATCATTGTGGAATAAATAAATCCTCATTTTCCAATCACAAAATTAAAGCCTGGAAGATGCCTGCCTTTTCAGGCCATCAATCACCCAAGGGGAGAGGTGGGTTCACCGCAGGTACCAAGGGGTTCAGATTTCACTCCCTTTTAACTAACAAGACCCTTGAGAAAGACAATGAATGGCACAGCTACACTTTCCTTTCCTGCCTATTTGAACTCCAGGACTCCCTCAACTAAGTCTCTACAAAGTGCCTACTATATACCAAGTGCCTGGATACTGTACACCAAGTGTCCTGTTCTCAACAGGCATCCAACTAATGCAGAGAGAAAGAATTAAGAGACCGAATGAGTGAATGAATAGCTTATTCACAGCCCTGCACATAACGAGCTCACAGTCTGTAAAATTAGACACGCTCATGGTTTATTCAAGAGCTTAGCAAAATATTTTGCATACAGTAGGTGCTCAACAAATTTGGGGTGGGGGGTGGGGATTTTGTTGGATTTGAAACAGAGAATGAGAAAATGTATGGAATTTTTCACTGAATGGAACCTAAACAGGCTCTGGTACGTACGACACTGGCCAGAAGTCCCCGTTTCAGGGCTGGCATTGCTAATTGTGTATGAGAGGTTTCCGGTCAAAGACCCAGAAATGCTCAGCCAGTTGTCAGATCCCAACAGCTAGAGGGTTGAATCAGGAGACAAGGTCAGGTGAAGTTCAAATGGTTATGAAGCTATTCCTTCTTGCCACAGACTCACATTATGTTTCAAATGTGAAACGGATAGCTCCCTCTTCACTCCCAGCCCCAGAAAAAGGCTGTGACACTTCCTTTGCAGGACACTGAAGACATCCAGGCAAGGGGAGCTTTCTAGTGAGGTGGGGTAGGGGCGGTGGGTGCTGACAATAAACAAAGGCTGTGCATTAAGAGACGCTGGAAGGATGTGCTCTCTCCGATGGGCCTCAGAGGTCTCCCTGTGCCCAAAGAGGTCTCTTCTGTGACCACCAGGAGGCTCTCCTGGGCTTCACTGTTGGCTGATTCTGGCCCCTGAATGCCCCTGAGAGCCTTCTGTCTCGTGCCCTCCCCCAGCACTGCAGATACTGGGTGGTTGCTAAGAATACAAAATTACTACTGACTGAACACACCCCTTACGGGGTCATACCCAACAGCAG